GGCGCGGGGTTAGACTTAGGCCAGGTCAGGGCGAAGCCAGCAGGTTCTTGCGAGGGCTCAACGAGAAAACTGAAAGAGGATACGCCCTGGTGGATGTTCCAGAAGTAGTCGGTCACCTCCTTGGAGGAAAAGAGGTGGTAACGATCTTGTCGGTTCGTGAAGTAGTCTGATGAGAGGTTCGCCCTACATGGTTGTTAGTCTCAGTCCCAACTCGGAAATCCTTGCAGCAGCTCCATACCCAGAGAGAATAATTTCGTCATCAACGCCATATAGCTTCATGTGTTGTAGGCCCCAGCCCTCGTTGATGCGCTTTGGTATGTACTTCTTCCTCAACCCCGTCAGGTTTGGTGTGTGGTACATGCGGATTTCCACTCTATCTGGGCCAAACTCCGATACGAGTGGTGCGAGAAGTGATGCGCATGACGGATTCGGCTCCTCTCGCGTGCCTCGTAGGGCGTCCGTCAGAATGCTTAGCTTCAGCTCAGGGTTGTTTCGCAGAGCTTCGTGTAGGGTCGCAATCTGGACATGACCACCGTCAGAACCTGTTCCAACCCATGCGCGTGCAATGTTAACTGACCAACTCTTTCTCTGTCTTTCCGATGTATAACGTTGACAGGAAGATCCTCTTCTTTGCATTCCGTATCCGCTCCTAATGTACACCCCGTATTAGTCCCCAAACCCATAGCCAGTGCTGCGCGTGTTCGTAATGCACACCTTTAATGTCTCGTAGAAATCGGCCGGCGTTCTGATAATCTTAATCTGGGAGCCGTTGATGCTGAAAGAAGGTGCGATCCTATCGAGTTCGTTCGCGAACGGCGCAAGCATGCCAGCTGCGCTACCGGAGCTTGAAGCCGTTGGGGTACCAGCGGCAGGCGTCGCGAATTGTCGGCATTGCGGTTGAGCGCGTGTAATGTTCGTTCGGGCAAATGGGAGCTTGAGCTTGGTAGAGCACCGCGACACGCCACGGACAATCATATCGTATTCGTCGTTTGGTATTCCACCGCCACGTCTAGATGTCTAGTAGGTACTCTTCCCAAAAAAGTTCATCCAAAGACGGAGAGCTTTCGAGGTTCCAAAGTTCTGGGGACAAAGGTGCGTGCATGAAGCTCTGTCATTGGCGGCGGGGGTTGCCGTGAGCGCCAGGGAGTCCAAAGACCAATTGCCTTCGAGTTTATGTAATCCAGAGCTCCACTCTGGCACCAGCGTCGCTCAACCTTCCCAAGCGTCAGGTCTTCAATCACATCGTCGACAGCAATCAATAGCTTCTTGAGGTCAATTGACCAGCCGCCACCATGTCGACCCCCGGAAGAACAATCGCCAACCTGCGCAAGGTTGGAATCAAGGCATGTATCCTCCTGGTTCAAACGTTGTCGCTGCCATCGCTAACTTTCGCTCCTAGAACTATTTCCGCCAATTGCTGGTACATGGCCTCCCGAACTCCCCGATTGCAATTGCCCCTCTAACGCTCGAGAATAGTACATCGGTGACACCAAGCATGGTCGTCTTGTAGGCGAGGATAAGGCCGGCAACAAGTACTTCGAGAACAACGACGAACTCCCCCGTATGGAACCCCCAAGCGAACAGCGCCAGCAAATGGACAATGAAGGACCGTGGGGCTAACAAGCAACAAATAGTGCGTACGCGCTGGGTGGACTTCAAGGTGCACGACTACGACTCGGCGCAGGTCGAGCCTGGCTGGCACGCTTGGTTGGGATACATGGTCGACAAGCCGCCCACCGAGGATGCCCTTCTCCAGACCAAGACTCGCAAGTGGGAAGTGCCACACGTGCTTCCCAACTTCACGGCTACCCCGGGAGCCTACAAGCCATACAACACGTAAGTGGAAGTGTCGTCACTTGAAATTGAGGATGGAATGCTGACAATTGGTGCAGAGTCAAGCCGAAGATTCGCGCGTGGGAGCCCAAGGCAGTTGAGAGGCAATGAGTTGCGGAAGAACGGGGTTGATGTACATAAGCCAAAGTCGCTTAACGCAATTTCAGGGTTTTGCTTTGTGTCAAAAATGTTGTAGATGTTGGACGACGCGGATTCGCATTGAGTGACAAATGACCAAGCACCGGCATTGGCATTCGCATGAAAGGAGATTTTGCAATATCTCAAGGAGCAGCCTCAAGTGGCTTGCGTACCGCTTCTCTCACCGTGGTAAATTCATTAGGAGAATGAACAGCCAGGCTTCCAGCAGATTCAAGGTGACAGGAACGAAATACCAGGCATTGCAGCCCGTTTAGACGGAATAGCTGGGGCGTGTGGCAAGTATGATGTTGGAGTGTTGGATGATAGCAGCGTTCCTATCTCGATAGTTTTAGCTGCTGTTGACTTTCGAGAGGTACACAGAGGGGAGGCCGATGAAGAAGAAATTCGTCTTGTGTAAAGTAGCTTGATTAGTGATTTCGACACTACTAAGGCCTCTCCATTTCGCTGGCTTTGTGAGTGATAACCACTATGGCTCCTAATCATTCATCGGGCCCTTCATAGGCGAACAATGTCCGTTGTCTCGGACTACTACTTCTTGCCAGCGACCTCAGCGAACCCCTTCTCCTCAAGTTCCAGCGAACCCAGATCGGGCACAAGCGGCGTTTCCGTACCCTCCGCTGCTACCGCCGCCCCGTTTGCCTTGGCTGCGACGCCCTCACCGTCCGCAGCGTAGTCAACCCAAGCTGGCGGGTTGATTCTGCTAGGATTCGCCTCGCCCTTGAAGTGGTAGCCTCTCGCCCTCGGTCTCGTCCCCGTGCCCTGCGGCAGCTCCGCTTCGTACGCCGCGACGAAGCGCTGCGACTGCTCCTCAAACTCAGCGGCGCCCTTTGCGAGGGTCGCTCGGATACCGGCGAAGAAGTCGGCCATCACCTGGTGGTTGTGAATCTGTAGTAGCGTCCAGCCGAGCATCTCCTTGGCGTTCAAGAGGTGGTGGAGGAAGGCCCTGTGGTGTGTCGTGCAGGCGTAGCACTTGCAGCCTTGGGAAAGGGGTTCCATGGCCACCTCGTTTTCGGGAGCCCACATGTCGTCGCCGAGAGGCTTGGTAGCATTGCCTTGATTTTCAGGTGGAGGGAAAGTGAAGGACAGCGCTACACCTGCGTCGGAGATGGCGTTGATGAATGGTATCGTGCAAATATCGACTCCTAGGGAAATCTGTCGGAGAATAGCTTGTGGTGTCTCGGGAATGTGCAATGACAGACGAGGAAGAGAATCCAGGGATTTGTGGTGGTCCTCAATATCGGGCAAGATATCAACATCGTAGAGAGCAAGTCCCGAAAGCGAGTCGACGACCTCATCTGCTAGGTGGCGAAGATACTCCCACTGCACGGTGTACGGCACCGCAAGAACAGGCGCAAACACCGAGACCCCAGACGCCTTGAAAAGTTCGCGCCTCTTGGCCGTCAAAAACACATCGGTCCATTCCTCGGTCCGCTCAGCCATGCGAACAAGCTTCTTTGAGGCCGGCATCGTGCTCGTGTGAAACAAATCAGCGGGGCCGATGGCGATATCAGGCTTCAGCGTCTCGACAGCCGCACAGTACTCGTCGGTGGAGAGGTTCCTGAAGCCGGTCGAGGTGAAGATGGCCACGAACTTTGCGCCATTGCCCACGGGAGTCTTAACCGCTGGGTTTCTCCTGGCAGCAAGAACCGTAGCTATGCTTTCGGGCAGGCAAGAAAAGGTATGGAGTGGCTTCTTTTCTGGCGAGGGTATTGAAAGCGCTGAAGGGTTCTTCTTCTCAATGACTTTAGTCGATAGTTAGCTTCGCGCCATGATAGACAGGTTAGGACAGATTGATTAGATTAAACTGCTTACAGTCCTCGAGCGCCATATACGCTCCACTGAAGGGCGCATGTTTCTTCAAGTTATCTGGGGTGACATGAGGAAGTACACCCCTCGAAGCGACGGCATAGTAATTTGGTGTATCGATGGGTTTCCGCTTAGGAACGCTCAGTTTCCCGAGACGAGCTGCAGTTGTGCCATCCAAGGTCTTTTTTAGAATTTCGAAAATCATGCCTTCTGCCCCGTCGACTTTTTCCGCATCACTCATCTTGACACATCGGCGACCCTTCCAGCTGTGTGTGAGTCAACCCTGGTGCCGCAGAGTTCCGTTGTAGTCGGTTGTCAGGCTCACAAAGAAATCCTTGCAACTTGTGAGGTATATTAACAAAAACAAAGTTTCTCAAATGGCACTCGTTGGTTGTCACTCGCTCACTTTCACCATATCACCATGTCGAGGGTTAGCGGTCGTTCTAGCGTAAATGGTGTGAAAAGGAAAAGAGCAGCCACAGCATTGTAAAAGCCACACTTTACCGTCTGATTGTGGCTTGATCCCTGGCTTGCCCTCCTTCCCTCTCGGAATCTGTGGGACGGTGGATCTGGCGGGAAGCAGGTGCCCCGGCCCCCGGGCCAAGTGATTGCGGCGGGGTCCCGATGGGGGAGACGCTGCAGGGGTTTCTGGGCAGCGCAGATGCATTTCGATTTTAGCCAATCGTCATTTCCCATGTTTTGATCCGATCACCCCATGGCCAAAGCATCTTGGAGTGTACCCGTATGAATGTATGGAGACCTAACGGAGAGTAGCGTTGTTGCTGCTTTTGCCCACTGCCTTCAACATTTCACTCACATTCGGTACCGCCGCGCCGGTCGGTACGGCTATCGGGGTGCTTCGGAGGCTTGGGGAATGACGTACATATGCCGTAGCTGATGCAATATTGACCGATTTTCAGATTGAATGTTTGGAAAGAAGTGACAATTCAATGGTCGGCAGGCTTTCGATGGAATAGTTGAGGCGAATCTGCCACTCTGCGTCCATTAGCCTAAGGAATTGTGCCTCGACAGCTACAGGACAATTCGATTACATATGGCCAACAAGTGTAATGAATTCATGAAGGCATTTGAAATTCGATTTGATGTATTATTCAGATCGTGGAACACAATTATATACCATAAAATAGCAAGCCTATCCCCTCTATCCTCCCATCTATCAGCCAAATGATGATCCGAGATGATCAAATAGGCTCATCTCTAGGCTCAATGAGCACCTCGTTGACAGCAACATGTTCTGGCTGACACAGAGCGTACACAATCGAAGAAGCTACATCCTCGGCGTCCAGGACCTTGGCACCAGTAGGCTCGCCGTACTTCTTGATAGCCTCAGCGTCTGTAGAGATACCCAGCAGCTCTGTGGCCGTGTTGCCAGGTTGAATAGATGTGACGCGGAGACCCGTACCGGCCGTCTCGAGACGCAGGCTCTGCAGAGTTGCTTCCACAAAGAACTTGCTAGCAGAGTAAACACCCAGGCCGGGGAAGACCTTGCGGCCAGCGTCGGACGAGATGGCTACAATGTGACCCTTTCCTCGGCCCAGCATGCCAGGGACCGTAGACGACAAGCAGTGCAAGAGACCCTTGCAATTGACATCGACAGTGCGCTCCCACTCGTCAGTCTGGTTGTTCGCCATCATGGTGAAGTACATGACACCGGCGCAGCTGACCAGAATGTCGACCGGTCCAAGCTTGTCAGCTGCCGCCTGCATGAGCGACTCAACGTCTTCCTTCTTCGTCACATCCGTCTTGTGAATGAGGACCTTGCCGCCAGTGCCAGCAAGCTTGGCCTTGACACCTTCCAGGGCTTCCGTTCGTCTTGCCGCAAGAGCGACATGGGCGCCCTCCTTAGCCAGCCCAGCTGCAACAGCTGCACCGATGCCGGAAGAGGCACCAGTGATGACGGCGACCTTGCCAGCCAGACGACCCTTGTTGACGCGAGATGTAGCTCCGTTAGCGTTTGCTCGGCGCGGAGGTCGAGAGAGCCAGCCTCTCGCGCAGAAGTGTCGAGTGTAGGTCTCGAGTAGATCAGTATCGATCTTGGGGCGAGGCAGGTTGTACTTGAGCAAAGCGGGAGCCGTAGCCTCGTCCTTGAGGACGGTCACAGCCTTGAGAGTCTCTGCGGTAGGCATACCACCACGAAGGATGTCAACGGTGAAAGGGACGTCGCCTGCAGTGCCGAAACCTCGCTTCTTGGTCCACAACTCCACCCAATCGTCCCAGGGCACGCGCTCGGTCGGGAAACCGAGCTCATTCAGGCTGTCGAAGATGTAGTTCGCAGACACTGGGTTGGGGTCACCAAGGTGGTAGACCAACTGCTCAGAGTCGGTGTGGTTGGCGAGAGTCGTGATAGCTGCGCTGACGAAATCGACAGGCGTCATTTCGGCGAACCATTGGTCAACATACGGCGCCGTCTTGAGGTGTAACGACTCGACGATCAGGGCGTTCAGAAGATCCCATGCGTTACATGAGCCTGTCTTGCTATGACCACTGATCGTACCAGGGCGGTAAACCTTACACGGCATACCTCGACGAGCGGCCTCATAGACCAGCTTCTCAGCCACCCACTTGGTCTGTCCATATCCGTCGATCAGCTTGTCGGGAACATCGTCAATGTCAACCATGGCGTCTTCAGAGTGGCCTGCAACAGATGGTGTCAAAACACCATTTGTGGAAACGTGGTGAAGGGTGGCACCGCTCTTTGACGCCAGGCGTAGGATTTCTCTTGTGCCTCCGACATTGGGGCTTCTCAGTGCAGCATAGGGATAAACCAGGTTGACAGTCGCAGCAGCATGAATGATGACCTCAACACGGGAAACGACGTCATCATAAACCTCTGGGGCAAGACCGAGGTGCTCTCGCGATAAGTTTCCGGGCAGAACCTCCATTCTGTCGAGTAAGGAGTCTTCCCAGATGCCAAGATCAATCAGGTTCTTTCGGATTCTAGCCATTCCAGCAGCACGCATCTCGTCGGTAGGATCCGTGAAGCGGACGAGGCAGATAATGTGTGCCGAGGTGGTCTCCACAAGATACTTGAGAAGGAAGGCACCGAGGTATCCAGTTGCACCGGTTAAGAGCACGGTATTAGCATCATTCAGACGCCGCATAGGAGTGCCGTTGGATTGGATGTCGTCAGGCAGAATGGAATCAGCACGAAGGACGGCTGGGAGGTCCGCTTGAACAGCCGCCGTGTGACCATCACGAGCATCGCAAATCGCTTGCAGGTGTCCTTGCAGTGTTGGCGTACCCGCAAGAGGTGCCAGCGGAACCGGGAACCCAAACTCCTTAGCGAATCTGTTTGCTAGGTCTGCGAGAACAAGGGAGTGGCCACCAATATCGAAGAAGTCGTGCTCCTCGGTGATGGCACTATCAGGCATGTTGAGGGCAGCCGCCCACAGCTTCTTGACGGTTTCGATCTTGACCTTGGTGTTTTGCTCCTTTTCGCCATTGACTGCAAGCTTCGGGCTTGGCGGCGGCGGCAGGGCCTTCAGATCAGTCTTGCCGGAGACGCCGTGAGTAGGGAGTTGTTCAAGCTCCACCCAGTAAGTTGGAAGCATGTACAGAGCAAGATGCTCTCCAAGGACACGTCTAGCTGCAGGGCTGTATCCAGACTCGTCAATAACCACATCTCCTCGGCCCCGCTTGTCATCGTTGTCGCGAACGATATAGGCAACAAGTTGTCTTTCAAGGCCTTCTCCGTGAGAGGAGACAGCGCAGTCACTCACAGCCAAGTGCTTCACAATGGCGTTTTCGACAGCACCTGGCTGAACGGTGTAGCCACGGGTCTTGATCATACCGCCTGCGCGACCAGTGATCTCCAGAAGACCGGAGGGAAGGACTCTAGCGAGATCTCCAGTACGGTACATGCGTGCACCTTCTTTGTTGACAAAGGGATCCGGGTGGAATGCCTTGGCTGTTGTCTCTGGCAGGTTGAGGTAACCCCGCGCCAGGAGGTCGCCGCCCACATAGAGCTCTCCGCTGATATTGTTGCCAACCCTGTTACCGTCTTCGTCCATGATGTAGATGTTTTCTGGGTTCATCGGTGGGCCAACCGGGCAGACACGGGCTTCAAAGTCAATGAATGTGCTGATATCACCGGCTGCGACCTCGTGGGTCTCGCAAGCGCTGTAGACATTGAGAAACCTGGTTTCGGGCAGGGCCTTCATTCCCCTGCGGCAGAGGTCAGTTGTGACCACCTCGCCGTTCAACCAGAGAGACCGCAGCTTGGGCAGGCGCTTGCTCAAGTCAGGGTGACGAGACAAGACGGTTGCCAGAAGGGTAGGTGTCATGAGCGTGTCTGTGATTTGCCGAGACTCGAGCAAGTTGACAAGAGCTGATGGGTCGTAACTTGCACTGTCCGGAACAGCAAAGACAGTCGCTCCCCGCAATAAGGGGCGAAGCATCTCCCACACGAAGAACACATTGCAAGCTACACGATCTCCCGGTTGCAAATCGCTGAGACCAAATCTGAGGTCATATGAGAGCACTGCTGCCCTGTGGGGATTGCAGATGCCCTTCGGTTGGCCAGTGGTGCCAGAAGAGTATGAGACGAACATAAGGCGTTCGAGATCATCGCTGGCAGGCAATGGCGAAAGTTCGCCATTGGCGTGTCCATTGACTGTCGTTTTACTGGGCTCATCAATGACAATGATAGGCACTTCCGCCTTGATGTGGTTGACGTGTGCGCTTTGAGTGATAACCACTGAGGGCTTCGCGTCCTGGATGACATCGCGCAGGAGCCCAGAGGGGTATGCGAGCTCAAGTACCAGGAAAGCACCGCCCGCGCGAAGAGCTGCCAATGAAGCGATCACGTAGTCGGCGCTTCGGCTCATGAGCACACCAACGAGGCTATCTCTGCCGACTCCATAATCTCGACGCAATTGATCGGCAAGAGTCTGCGTCTCTTGGTCCAATTCCGCATAGGTAAAGGTTCGTGATTCATCTTCAAGGGCCACAGCGTCTGGGGTAGCCTTAGCCTGCTGCTCAAAGAGCGCGGCGATATCCTTGGTGATGTCGAGAATAGGCATGTTTATCAGTTGTTTGATAAGGGGTATATGGAAGACAACTTGACTGGTTGAAACAAAAAGGAATCACCTCTAGAGAAGCCGATGAGAGAATAAACGGGAAGAAAGGTCACAGACAGTGAAGTCTAGATCAAAGGTTGACTGTTGTAGAGGAGCAGATTAAGCTCTGGCGCCTTAATAAATGTGGCAGAACAACTGCAGTGTTGAGTCTGGGAGGGAAGGAGGTCACGAGACAAGTTGGTTGCGAGAAGCTCTTGCAACCACTCAAGTACTTAGTTGAGGCGAAGGAGTGACGCGGAAAAAGCAAGGCCAACAGAAGCGAAGGCGAAGGTGTGTACCTTGCTTGGCTACAAGGCCCTTACCGGCTAGAGGTTCCTCAACAAGAACGAGTCCCCCGCCGACGAAGCGTACACGTGTAGGGAAGAGACGGTAGCACATGCACACCGACAGCCGTCGCGAAGCGATGAAATGTCGGTACGGGATAGCCCAGTCCAGTCCATAGCATCCACTATCAGACACCATGTCCAATGAGGTACATGGTTGCCAAGTTGACCAGCAGTTTAAATGGGTCAAAAGAAGGCGATAGAAGCCAGGAAAGTTGCTGCATCCAACTCAGTCTAAGATGAAAGAGTGTGGAAGGCAAGGTTTAGCTGGATCGTTTGTCTACTATGTAACTATCAGTACCAGACAAAGCCCTAGCGCCATCAACCGCATTACTGGAGGCTGGGATTGATCCAACAGTGACCCTAAGCATATAGGCGGCGTAGGATGCCTCAATTGAGAGATTCACTCTCGATATTGCGGTAATTATATCGTGAGCCTGCAAAAAAGTCAACCTTGATGTTCCAAGCACATGTCAAAGTTGCAAGGGCGATGTCGGTGACGAAAAAAAGTCTAAACACGTGGGGGCCAGAGTGTCATTATAAGCATGAACAAGTGAGAGAGTTGCAGTTTGTCATTTAAAGCCAGATGAACGCGCAAGATCAGTCGCGCATCTGTCAAATGACTCGCCGTTTTTCCCGACAAACAGATGAGGGCGGCGTCTAGACTGCGCCACCAGATCGGTATGGGAGTCGGTCCGTCATGTGGCTGAGACTCGGCGTGGGGTATCGGTGGCTAGAGAGAGCGGGTCGCTTGCCCCTCCGACACCCGCTCGCCGCAGCTCCGAAGCAGGATGCAATTCTGTCCGTTTCTGGTCCACTAAAGCGGCACCCACGGTACGTACTCCCTCTTTTGACGTTGCACTTCGTCGCCACGCGGAACGCCGTGCAAGAGCAAGGACCACCCGATGCTCCACCTGCCAGGGCCAAGTCAGACAGGGAACAGAGGTGCTTCGGTGCCGCGGGATCGTCTGCTTCAGGATCACCTGGCTAATGCGGTTCCTGAGCTGTCCCTCAGCCACAGCGCTGTCACCCATAGGCTGCCGTTCTTTCGTCTGAAGTTTCCGAAGCCAATGCGTCGCCTCCGTGAGCAACTCGATGGGAGGCCAGCGAAACATTCGTTTCACGACCGAGAGAGCCTCGTCACTTGATAGCATCGCATTGATACTACGGTTCACTGCTCTTCTGGTATGACCTCTCGCCCGACCCCAATGCCGAGCCATCCTCTTGCTGACTGATCGTCATGGCGTAGCCGCCCTCGGTTTCCTAACCACTTAGGTCCTTAGGTCTCGCCCCTTGTCCGATCCGCCGAATCGTCGACGACTCACCTTACATATCTTGCCTAGCCCCCGCGTACATTCCTCCACTATGGATGACCGAAGACATGAGCAGGAACCGCTCTTGAGCATCATGGAGCGACAGCAGGCCGACGAGCCTACGAACCGGGCAAATACCACAGAACATCCCGATGCGCCGCTCGAGGATAGCCCTCGCCGCGAGCTCGAAGTCGATGACGACTCCGGCCCATCGACACCCCGGTTCATGCAGGACGATGGACACTGGAAGCGCTGGAGATGGGTGCCATTCCCGGTGCGCCGCATCGTGAAGGCTACCGCAAAATGGTCCAAAGGTCCGCCAAACCCACACGATTACGAGATCAAGCCCATCTTTCCTCAGGTTCAAGAGTTCCCTCTTGTGTTGGTTGATCGATACCTCCGAAAATTCAAGCACCGGGTCGGCATCGTTTTTCTTTACTTCGCCATTTGGATCATCACATTTGCCTTGGTCAAGAGGAGCGAGACATTCGCTACTGAGGTTGAAGGATGGGGAGCCCCCTCGCAGATTGGGTGTGGTGCGGCATACTGGACGAGAGGAAATAATTGCGGCCTCAATGGTGCGGACTGCCGCCCGTTCAATGGCAGCGGCTTTGCCTTCAGGTGCTCAGCCAACTGCGCCGGCTACATGGTCTTGAATCCAAGAGCGGTCGGAGACCAGGAGATTGTCTACCAGCCGCTTGTTATCGGCGGACAAACCGATAACACGAGCTCGCCGATTTACCGAGGTGATTCGTTCATCTGCGCCGCTGCGATCCATGCCGGTGTGATATCTAACGATAATGGAGGTTGTGGTGTTGTCCGCCTCGTTGGGCGAAACGAGAACTACTTGAGCTCGGAGAAGAATGGGATTGACAGCATCAGCTTTGACTCCTACTTCCCACTCTCGTTCACGTTCGAGCCTGGCATTCAATGCCGCGCCAAAGACCTGAGATGGAATTTGTTGGCGGTCTCGGTTGTTTTCACGACGGTCCTCTCTCTGTTCACGTCATCACCTTCCCTCTTCTTCTTCTCAATCTTTACTGGCATATTTTGGCATGTCGGGCTTGCCTCCGACCCCCCAAATCACTACTCGGTTGCGGACCTAGTATCGAATATCGTTGGCAAATACCTCCCGGCGATGTTCTGCGCCTGGGTTATGTTTGACAAGATGGGAATTCGACGAACGCTCAATGGGCTTACTGCTCAGGTGGAGAAGACGATCTTGTGGCTCGGTGGTTGCTGGGTTGGTGCGCTTACCAACTATACCTTTAGCTTCATTCCGATTCAGCGTCTGAATGCGCATGATCTGAACCAACAGCCGGGAGCAAAGGCGGCGTTGGCCATCATCATCATCGTCTTGGTGGTAATCACCGCCAAGCAAATCTGGTATTTTAGACAGGAGGGCCGTCTCCTGAAATACCTCAAGCTGTACCTCCTATTCGTGGCGGGTATCATTGTATGCCTTGTCCTGCCAGACCTGAGCCTGCGCATTCACCACTACATCCTGGCGTTACTCTTGCTCCCGGGCACGAGTATGCAGACCAGACCTTCACTGCTCTATCAGGGCATTTTAGTCGGTCTCTTCATCAACGGCATCGCCCGCTGGGGCTTCGACGCTGTTCTCCAGACACCTGCGGCCCTCCAAGGCGACGCTCAGCACGGGTCGGTCTTGCCCAGCATTCTCCCACCCGTCATCGACCTAGGTCAAGCTATGTGGAGCATCAACTTCACTTGGGCTACTCCTCCCGATGGAGCGCGCTACGACGGCATCAGCGTTCTTGTCAACGATGTAGAGCGCTTCCGTACCTACTTTGACGATGGACCCGTACCTCCAACGAGTTTCCTCTGGAGCCGCCAGGGCGATCTCGGCATGAACGAATACTTCCGTTTTGGATTCATGGAAGGCAGCGAGAGCTATGATTTTACGAAAGCTGGCATTTGGAATGCGGAAGGCAAATGGATAGACATGCAGCCGGGCCCTTCGATGATTAGGGGTCGGTCACTTGTAGATGATGACGAGAGCGTGCCACGGTGATCTTTGATGCGTGACGATCCTGCTTTTGCTTTAGATGTCTAGAATAGCGTACGAATCTCAAAGACCAGAGTTTGTTCACCATCGGAACTTTTTCGTTCTACTTTGATCAACCGACGAATTTGAGCAAAACTTGGACTCTTTTGATTGTAGTGGTATCTTAGTGTGAATGTGTACATGCTACCCAAAAAAAACAAAATACCAAAGTTCGCTCAGATTACTCCATCTTGTCTGCATCAAGATCACACCCCCTTTACGCTCCCTGTCTGCGGCGGCAAAGGGGACGACCACGCTCGAGCGTGTTCGGATCGCAATCCAACCTGCTGTCCTCAATGCAAGTCAAGCTTGAGCCGCCTATTTACGGAGAGTCTCATTAGCAAACGGCAATACATAAAAAGACCCATACTAGAATGCAAGGGGTTCGGAGTGAGTCTTACAATTGTTGATGCTGTCCGGAACACAACGGCCAGTCTGGCCGTTGACGTTGCAGACATCCTGCTTCAAGCTCGTGTTGGCGACGCAGCAGGCGCCGTTGGGGACGGGCCGGTTGGCGTTTGCGCCCTGGCGCTCCATCAGGAGGACGTCGCGGCGAGCTGCGGCCGAGGTAGGGTCCTCTACGGCTGCGGCGCTGGCGCCGATGGCCATGGTGAGGGCGAAGAGGGCGGTTTGGACAGTGAACTTCATGGTGCTTGGGTGTGTGGTGTTCGGCTTGGGGTATCTCGAGAAAAGAACCGATGAAATGAGAGGCTGTTTGTGATTTAAAGTTATGGATACAGTAGAAAGACGAAAAAGAGTGTCCGGCCGGCGGTAGAGAAGCAGAAGAGACTGAACTGTGGTGAAGGGGTCAGAGACAATCAAGGAGAGATGGGACGAGCGAGAATGGCTATTATATACGTCTGCTCAGGAGTTGGAGCATGAGGCCCGATTAAGCTTCCCCTCTCTTAAGTGTCAAGTCTATAAACCCGTAAAGGCGGCTCACGATGTGTCAAAACGAACACCTCCTGACTTCAGCCGGCCACTCTCAAACAAGCGAGCAACTCGACGCGAGGAGACCGAAGTATTCGGATTTTGGTTTCCAGGATCTTACCGACGGGATGATGAGCGATCTAATGCAAAATCCTGGCAAAAAATGGGGAGGGCCTGGTAACTCTCTCCCCTCTTCTCGGCTGAGCCAGCCGTAAGCGAATAGGAGCACATTTCACCCTCGCTTGCTCGTATCCAAAAAGCAGAGATCTTGAGCCTCAAGGAGAGAGAAGGGGAAAGAGAGCAAGAAGAAGAGGGCCTGTCGTCTCATGCAACATCCCAAAAGGGATCGAAGCCAAAAGAAGCTCAAGTACGGATGAGACGAACAGGGGTGAGGGAAAGGGCTCATTTCTCTATTTTGGCAGCCTCTCCGTCACAATGCTTGAACGCACAGGTCCAAATATGGATTAGTCCAAGGGATGTGTTCGGGAGATGCGGCGACGATGTGACTGTTTGGGGTTTTGCGGTGTAAGATGGTGGGAATTTTTTTCGTCTGGACAGTCGATGAAACGTGTAAGAGGCAGGGGGGTTAGTCGTGGGCTTCCCCTGCCTTTCGGCGAATCGCCGTCGGTAGAAGAGGCCGAATTTGGGGGAGGCGTGACTAAGAGAATTTGAAAGCTGACTCTTCCTGAGATGCACGGGAGGAAGAGAAGATAGACTTCAATTTTTCGGTCACTGGCGTGTAAGTGAATTAGGTAGGCTGAGGTGGGTATTGAAAATGTGCCTTACGAGATCCTCGGTGATCACCGCGACGAGTGACTATTTGGGTTGGGTGTTTCTATGAAGTATCTGCAAGTGCACACTATGTAAACCGTCCAAGCAAATGACACAGGACCGTGGTCTAGAACATATTGGGTGATGAGAAAGATCTGCCGAGTCTATCACACATCGTGGGGTATCGTCCCAGTGACAACCATTTGATCCACCAAACAATACGCATCCCCGATATCTGCCGTCCGATCTCAGATGGCATGTAGATCATCTTCGGACTTCAATAGCCCGGGAGTCGTGGGACTGTTCTCATGTTCAGCAAAAGTCTTACTGGCTTGCTTCTATGTTGAACGTGAAAACAGAGCTCTGACAACTCAAGAGGTGCTTCTGGCACGGTGTCAGACGTAAGCAGTTTAGAGCAAGACCTTTGCAATCAGCTGCAGAATATTCGTAGCCGACCTAGTTGTGCCTCTGGGACGGAATCAATCAACGAGCTGTCGACCTTCAAAGTCGCAACGACAGTACGTGAGCAGTGACGTGCTTCACGCCCAACTATATGTTAAAAGCACTGTCACTTTCCGATGCAAGCTTGGAATCGCAAGAAGACTGGTTGAAAGTTGCTTTAAACATTTATTGAGAATATCCTCGCGAGCCACCAGAGCCCAAAACGAGTTTTGCACCAACCCACCCCCTGGTCGGCTACATTAATCTGGACCTCACTTCTATGAACCAGGTGAACCTCCTTTACTCCTCGTCCTCCTCCTCAGCAACCTCAGCAGCCTCGACAACAGCCTTGCTCGCCGTCTTGGTTCCCTTCTTACCCGTACCCTTGGCCCCGGCAGCGCCAGCGTTTCCGCCGGCGGCCTTGATGGACTGGTCAACAACGTCACCGGCCTTCGTGGCAGTGGCATCATCCTTGGGCACCTCGCTGGCGGCTGGGTTGTCGGTGGAGGCGTTGAACTTGAGGGCGGTCGCGGGCTTGCCGGCGTTGGCGACGTCGTCGGCAATGTTCTTGTTGAGCTTCTTGGTCTCCTCGTCCAGCTTGGCAGTCACGTTCTTGCCCTGCGCCTGCTGGGCCTGCAGGCCCATGACGGTGGCCGTGAGCTTGAGGACCTTGTTCTGGATCTTTGCGCGCTGTAGTACCATGTTAGTCGCCTGTTTCGATCGATAGAAGAAGATCTCGATATCTTACCTGAAGGGCCAGGGCGTCCTCGCCGGGTGCCGTCTTTGCGATTTCAACATTGTAGGCACCGCGCTCGGCCTGGTTGGCAATCTTGTTGACGTTGTTGAGGAAAGCGAGATCCGCCTTGTCGACGGTGGACAGGTCCGTCGGCAGACCGCTCAGCTTCTGGAGGGCATCCTCCTTTGCGGTGCCGGCATTCTTGCCGCTGATGGATAGCTCGTCAAAGGTCTTGGCCGTCGCGAACACGGCGGCGCGCTTCTGGAGCTTGCTGCCAGACGAGGAGATGTCCCGGGAGGGGGCGGCCGAGGCAACGGCGACGAGAGTAGTGAGAACGGCGGAGAACTTCATTTTGTCTCAGTGTTTAAAATTGTTTATAAGAAAAGAAGGGTAATAATAGAAAGGAATTGATTATAGATGTTTTTTGAGCGAAAGACGGGTCTGTTGGAAACGACAGCACAGCTGTGAAGAAAGAAAAAGTGAAGGTATTGGAACTGAGGCAAGAGATATTGAGTTGATGAAAGAGCTGGGTATCCGAACAGCCCGGCGGGATGTCTGACGATCTTATAGATCGAGTGGAGGCCTTCCTCCATCACTGCCTTACCTACACCTAACAAGCTCATCTCAATGTTGTCTCTCCATCCATGGAAGAGCATTGACGCCACAGGACGAACGTTCGGCGGCGCCGTCGGAAGTGACCAACTCTCGTCAGCGTGTAACGATTCCCGCTTCTCGTCTTCTTCCTCGAAAGAGGTAAAGAGAAGAGCGAGGAAGCAGGGCTGGCGGCGGGCGCGGAGGCCGTTTCAGGGTGAGATCATTCCGTGCTGGGGTCTATGGACAATCATCTTGTACAAACATAGATCGGGTCCTTCGCTGCCTTGCGGCGAAGAAGACTATCCGAAAGAGACGGAAATTGGAGGAGAGAAAGGGAGTCTGGAGACCCGACAAGCGGTAACCACACTGGTGGATCGTCCCTCTAGACGTCCAAAGACGCGGGTGCCGGGGCCTTCCTTGCCCAGGATGGAGGCTGAGCCTCAATGCCATCCCCTCCACACCTAGCCGTCTTGCATGTCGTCTCATGATGTGATGGCGACGAGTAAGGTACAGACGTTGGAGAGAGGGGGGAAGGACACGAGAAAAGGCCTCGAGTCAGCCGGCGCAGCGCAGCGTTGTGCGTGCTTTTGCTGCGACGAACACGCAACCACTTGGCCACGAGGGAACCGCCGCCGCCTGAACTGTGCGGGAAGATTGCAGGACAGCCAGCACGGAGTGCTCTGAGGGAGATTGAGGTTGTTGGCTGACGGCGGTGCTGAAGTGCGGCTCTCGCTCATGCGAGAGGAAAAGTCAATCTTGAGACGAGTTTTACTGATGTTTTTGACAGCCTGAACCTAGAAGAAGAGATGAGATTGGTGTCTGTGTGAAGAGCAGCTATGAGCGTTCGAAGGTCAGATTTAGCCGCTAGGTCTTTCAAATCCATCAGAAAGATGAATATCTAAACTTCTCCCCCAGACTTAGTGTCCCGCATGTGTCCCTGAAGAAAGTAATTATGGATAGATTGTAAGGTTATTGCCCCCCATATTACACGCTCACGGGAAACATACGGTGGGCTAGAAATATTAGGTAGGCGGGAGGGAAGTGATTAAAGTCAGCCCTACAGTGATTGCAAGCATTGAGAGGCTGAAAACTGTTAATCTATCACACATGGCGTTTGAAGCTTGAATTTCGTCGGGGAAAAGTGGAGACGGCGGTTGGGTTATTTTCTGCCTGTTAATTTACGTCTTGTTCCTCCACTCACACAACGCTCACTCGCCGCTGCGTGAGCAAGAAAAAAAGCTCGTGTCACTGAGAGTTCAAAGTTCAAACTCCCAGTGCCGAAGGTCCCGCCCCACTTGGAGATAACTTCACCTCATCCGACCTGACTGCTCAAACCATCCACACACGCCTAGTCCTGCCCACCTCACGCGATCAACACTTCACCAGGCCAACCCAGCCCGTAAACACTAAACATACGCGGCTTGTCGGACTTTATTCCTTCTCATCGCCAATTATCAAATCCCGGCCGAAAGAAAAGCCCAGAACAACAAGGGTGTACTCTCGCCCAACTACTCAACGCATCACGTTTCTCAGAAACCGCAGACTTTCCACTCACACTCAACCCAAACGCCAAGACCACAATCCAGACTCACGCCAACAACCTAGACAACAACCAAAAAAATGCCTCCCCGGATCCCAACCCCAGAAGACTTCACCCAAGTCCAAAAAGTCCTCCCCCTAACCCTAGCCTTCCCAAACCCCCCGGAATCCACCACCGCAATCCTCCTCCTCTTCCACGGCCTAGGCGACTCCGAGGTCCCCTTCGCCTCCTTCGCCCGCGCAATGTCCCTCCCGGGCGTCCTCTCCATCTCCCTTCGCGGTCCCTCCCCGCTACCCCCGTCCATGCTGCCCGATGACGGGCCATCCACCTCCTCCGCAAACTCCTCCGGCCACTTCCACTGGGGCGACGACATCACCTTCGACCCCTCCACAGACGCCCTCGCCACGGACCCTGGCTTCTCCAAATCCTCAACCCTCGTCGTAGACCGCCTCATCCGCGACACCCTCGTCGCCCGCTGCGGCTGGGAACTCAGCGACATCATCCTCTTCGGCTTCGGCCAAGGCGGGTCCCTGGCCTTGGGCATCGCATCGCAGCTCCGTCTCGGCCCAAAAGTCGTAGACGTGACTGAGTCCTCTGATCCCACGGCTGCTTCCTCTGCATCCAAACCCAAGAGGAATGACAGCCACTTTGACGAAAACACCCTCAAGGGCGTCCTCTCGATCGGCGGTCCCCTGCCACCCTCCATGGTTCCCACGGTCAGCACGCGGGGCAAGTGCAAGACGAAAGCGTGTCTTGTCCAGCTCGACGACGACGCCTTTGATGCCGTTAAGGAAGAGTTCCTCGATGTCAGGGTCGTCAAGTGGAAGAGGAGGGACGTGGCCATGCCCCGTGATCGGGACGAGATGTTCCCCTTGATGAAGTTCTTCGCAGAATGCCTCAAGAGCGGTTGGTGAAGTGACCCTCAGCTTGATGAGTTACGAATCGAACCGGACACACGGACTCGACTAACTTTACTGACGGTTCCTCAGCGTTGACCGCGCTTTGGATGATGACAGACTTGATCCTTGCTTAGTTTACTAAACTTATAGAGGAGCTTGGGTGGCTGGCTGGCAGACAAAGGAGTGACGTGAGGTTCGTCGTTCCTAATCACATGGAAACTTGGATCATGTCACTCCTCATTCAAGTGCACAAGGTCTGAGGCGTTGATGAGCATATGGGATACTAGTTATTGACTGTTGAAAAACGCCTCCGAGGATCGTGGCTACGGACTATAATCATAAGGCTATTCAACGGTTTGTTTCTTTCTCTTCATTTCCTTCTATTCGCCCCCAGAGATGGAGTCGAATCTACGCCATCAACTGCGCGATCATTGTAGCGGGGCCGGTGCTGTCGAAGCACGGCCAATGTCTCCCAACTGGTGGGGGTTCGGCTTCTGGTTCTCGGGTGCCGGAGTCGCTGCGCTTGGTTGCATTGCGTGTTGCTTTGGTTCGCCCTCATCAACCTTGACCGTGGGATCTCCGCTGAGAGCATGCGGAGCTGTCTGGCCCTGCATACTAACCGTTTGGTCGTCGTGGACGCTGTGGGGTACTGCTCGTGTACTGACTGGCGCCATGACATCCTGGCTAAGCCTGTGATCGTGTACAGGAGCGGCCGTCTTGGTTGTCAAGTCATTGTGTACCGTGTGCTCCGTTGGCTCTTCAGCTACGTTGACGGTGGGATCCTGGTGAACGCTATGAGGGAGGCTGGCAGCCGGTGTCGCTGTCTTGGGATCTATATTAATCTGATGAGGGGAGAGCCGTCGAGCCACTTGAACTATTGGGTCCTCGTGGACAGTATGCGGATGAATCTCCTCAGCAATTCCAAAGAGAGGATCATTGTGAACAGTATGCGGGAACTGTCTGTTTCCAACTGGCCTCTTTTGGTCTTGACTGAGCCGGTGGGGCTCAGCGAAGTCAGCCACCGTGACGCGAGGATCTTGGGAACCCAGAATCGGACTCTGACTTTGCTGGGTGTCCGGAGTTCTCGCAGGAGTGTGTTTGTTGCTAGTAGGAGGAGGCAATTGCTGGGAACTGGCTTCCGGGGTAGCCTTCGCCGGCGGACTTTGTGGCTTTGCTCTCTCCTTTGAACTACCGGATTCAGGTAACTCGACAATTCTCGGTAGGCTCTTTTCCTTCATCTGCATCTGCGCGGGCGATTCATACGGATGGTTGGGCTGAGGCTTGAAGCGACGAATCTCAACTGGTGGAGGCCCTGGCGAGAAAGGGTAAGTGTTAAACTTTTTACATATTTTCTCTCGCACCAGGACTTCATTGTGATTCCCCATCAGAGTCCAGAATGGGTGGGCGCAGGCGTGAAGTTCGTCGTCCTCGGTGCTACCCGTGATGGCATATCGGTTCCGAATGTCACCACGTTGGTTGCTGAGCGGCCTTCTCCAGTTGCACACTGCAGCAGTCAGGGAATGCCTACAAGGTTTTTCAAAGAGTTTCCTTACTCAGAGAGCTCAGGAAACAAGACCAACATGGACTGCTGCAACCACCTGAAGGCGGAGTCAAGGGGTCCTCGCCATAGGCAGCTCGCTCGAGTCTCTCGGCGGTACGAGCATATACCATGCATGGGCATAGCGCTGCTTCTGTAGTAACCTCTCGTTGCTTCGCCAGCCAATTGTGCGATCGGACCTGTCCCATGATGGGCTGTTTGTCTGGCTCTCGTCGTTGTACTGTCTCCGTTGAATTGTTCTCGCGCCTCCGTTGCCCTGCGCTGCTAGATGCTCGCGTGTTTTTGGGTCGATCCATGTTGATCGGAGGGTGGATAATGCAATCTGAAGAGGAAGGTCGATGATGTAACTAGTGTCAAATGACAGACCTAAGTAACCAAGACGGTAGACAATGGACGGTTCCTAGAAGTTTGGAGTTAGATGGATGATGGACGTCAATGAGCGATGTTAGTCTGTGGTAGTTGGGGGTTACTGGAGGGAAAGGTACAGTTCCTTTCTAGCAAAGTCTCAAGCAGGCAGTGTGCACTTGCAAGATGCTAAAAAGGCTGGTCCTTCCCGGGTTGACGTCGCTGCCGCAGTCTTTTGCCACAAATACGCGAGAATTGCCTCTGTCCAGACCAGGCTCGGCATGCACACGAGAGATTGCCTTCCACCCATTTTGCCACTCGTTTATGGCGGAAAGAAGCAGGGCAAGATTCTTGACTATGCGCGGTTCAAGTGCCTGCTTCCTCGTTCCATGACAGTGAACAATGCTCGCACCAAGGAACTGTGCAAGCCAGCAATCAGCACCGCTACGATGACAGTCTTGATAATAGGGACGGTAATACAACATTGATCGTTCTAATTTCAGTGAGCCAACCCAATCGTGGTGGTATCCACGAACGGCTCCTGTCACCTTACTCTTATACCGCAGCCCAAAATGCGCCATGACACCATAGTATGTTGATGAAAGGGGGTTTAATTTCCATTCCGATTCCGAACCTGCTCTACTCGGCCTTGAGTCGCACCGCAGTCTGCTATTCCTCGGCACGCTCTTCATCTCTCCAGCCATTCGAACTTCGAGAAGCGCCGTTATGTAATGATCTTAGAGCTGTGCTCCGAGTCTTATTCGACCATCTGGGCGGTGTCAGCGATAATAAACGAGGATTTTTATGGCAAACTCACATTTTGACCTTGCCATCGTCGCCACATGAAGCCAGCATACAAGGGTCTGCGGGGTTCCAGGCGACAGCGTTAGTCCGAGGCTGATGCCCTTCGAGTCTCTCCACTGCAGCGCCGCTAATCTTGTGCCAGATGAGGATGTTTCCATCTAAATGCAGTTTATCAGTGTCTGCCATCATACACTCAGCCACTCTTCACATACCTTCACTGCCGCTTACAACGAAGCTCTCGTTCGCGCCGCCAAAGGCACTCCGAATTATGAAGTCGCCCCCAGTGTGACCCAAGAACTTCTGGACCGACGTTCGGTTTACCAGATCTATCAGTTGCAGCTCGCCATCCTTTTTGTTAAGGAGCAAATGCTGTGAGTCTTCGCTAATACTCACGCATGTCGGTCGCGACTTGACCTCCATTTCGTACTCTAGCTCGCGTGTGAAGGCGTTGTAGACGTGGATCTTCTGTTCGTCGTCGACAGCCACGAGCCAGTGACCGTCCGGAGAACCACAGATGTCCTGAACTCTATGCTTTTTGCCCCATTCGCACATCATTTCGCCAGAGATACTCCACGTACGTAAGCCGTGTTGCTTGTCTAGAGATCCGGTAACAAAGGTCTTGCTGTCCGCCGCCCACACACAGCCACTCGCAGGCTCCTCAAATCGCTCGAGCTTCATAACTAGCTCTCCAGTCTACGAATTTGTTAGCACCAGGATCGAGGGAAATTCGGTGAATGGAGATTACGCACCGTGGTGTCCCACAGCCTGGCATACTTGTCCTGTGAGCATGTGACGATCATGGAGTCATCAGGGCTCCAGGACAGACCACCGACACCCTGAGCATGCGGGCGCAAGATTTGAGAGACTGAGAAAGAAGGCAAGTCCCAGATGACGACAGCTTCGCCACTTCCGCAAGCAGCCAGTCGCTGGCCGTCGTGAGAGAACAAAACTTGCCAGACTTCGCCAGTCAAGTCTGTGAGCTCCAACGCGACGTCAGTAGGGAAGTGACTCCGTTCACAATAGTGATCCGAGTATAATGAAGGAGATGATGCGGTTGTATGCCAGAGGCAGCTGTCTATTTGGCTCTGCTTCACCTGCTGCAGAAGAACGGCAAGACGATTCTCTGGCAGCATGACCGAGGGCGAGATGCATTCTATCCTTTTGTCAATCACTCTATACGTCACTATAGGCATCGGTGATACTCACTGGACAGTTCAGACAGCAGGACCTTTCTCGACTGGCCGTGAGCACCATCCCATTCGGCTTTGGCCTTCAAGTCTTCTGTTGACTGGCACATGAGAAGACTGGAGAGGAAATGGAGCTTTTGAGTATCTTGGTATAGCGGCGTCAGTTCGGTTCGCAGCACCATCAGGGCCCGGGAGGTATCTCGCTGCTCCAACAACTCGAGAAACTTTTGTTGCCGCAGCCAAAATCGCATGACATTCCGGTCAGAGCCAGGGGCTAAGACGAGACCATTCCCGGGTTGGCTTCGATCTTCGGACATGACGGCTCCGAAAAGCAGCTCTTCGGCTTCACCCCACTCGCCGCTAACGACTGCGCTCCTAAAGGCGGCGACCGTCGGGCTCTCTAGCTCGTAGCCGCTGTCTTTGCTCACGCTCTCGGCAGCACCCTGGTATCCCATGTCGGACAGAGCCTGTATGAGTATGCGGGTGACCTCCTCGCGATCATGTCCATAGTAGGTTGAGGGAACGGATGTCTGAGCTTCCTTGTCAGAACGGGATGACCCGTTCAGGGCAGCGGCTTTGCGGGCACCATTTGTCGCGGAGGCAGTCAGTGGGGCTTCCGTCGTTGCGCCGTTGGAGTACGTCCTCGACGTTCCATTTGAGGCAGCTCCATCGCCGTCTGAGATCATGGTGGAGTCTCCTCTTCTGCGTTTTGAACGATGTAAGCCGATTGGACTGGCAGCCGCGGACGAGGTAGGAGAGTCTCCCCGGTCCGCGTCGGAAGCTCTTCGTCTACGGCCCAAGACCTGACGGGGCGCCGAGGGAGATGCTATCGCTTCGGAGACAGTCGAGGAGAGTTGGACGGCGGTCGCTTGGTAGTGGCTCGAAGTTGTAGAATCGTCAGAAGAGGAGGGGCGGGAAGCCGCGGGGGCTTGGGTCGGAACTGCGGTTGAAGATGTCTGGTGCGGCGGGGTGGGCACTTGTTGGTTGGCTGGAATAAGATGGGAATTGGAATTCGGATTGTAGTTGGGGTCCAGGTCGGCCTACGTTACCGCGGGAAGGCCCCGCGGTTGCTCTGGTCGGTCGATATCTTGGAAGGGACGGCGACGCCTATGTTATGGTAG